CAGCCTTTCCCCGGAGGCGCCCGAAATCGGACCCCGCTCAGGCTGGCGTCACGGGATTAAAGGTGAAACCTCCTGGCTGTACAGTCTGTTAGGGATGGGGGCTCGCCGGGGATTTGACGAAATCACCCTCTCGTCGCAGCGGGACAGGGAGTCCTGGCAAAGCCAAACTCCGTCGGACCAGTTGCGGTCCGTGGTCCCCTGCACCTTTCTTTTCCCGTCAGATGCCTTGTTTTTGGAGCAACGTGTCTTGGGGATCGGCATTTCAAGGGGCTTCTGGGTCCCACACGCTGGGGTGAGCGAGGCGAAGCAAAAGCCCCTCCGCCCACACACAGCATTAACCCCATCGCTCAGAAAAGACCCCCGGGCCTGCCCGCTCTGTGCCTGTCCCCCTCCTGTCTCCCGCTGCGGGGGGCTGGCACGTGTCAGAAATAGCCCTTCACTGTCACTGGCGTGCCCTGAAAATAGTCCTTGAGCTAGGCTTGGCTTAACCCTCCCCGGCCCCTCCTGGTCAAAATTAGCCTTGCAGAGCGTGTGTGACCTCTTTGGGGGCCCGCTTGCTGTGTGCCTTGGCTGCTTGGGTCTTTGGGGCGGGGGGGGGGTTGCAGTGCCGTCCCCGGCTGCCCCAGTGCGATATTCGCCCTACGGAGAGCTGTCTTTCTGCTTTCAGGAATAAGTACTCGGCTCCCGGCAGTGTCGCCGTCATGGGGAAGGACTATTATAAGATTTTGGGCATCCAGTCCGGCGCCAACGAGGATGAAATCAAGAAAGCCTACCGGAAAATGGCCCTGAAGTATCACCCCGATAAGAATAAAGACCCCAGCGCCGAGGAGAAGTTCAAGGAGATCGCGGAGGCTTACGACGTCCTGAGCGACCCCAAGAAACGAGCCGTTTACGACCAGTACGGGGAGGAAGGTAAGGGGACGAGCGCTGCCCGCTCAGAGGTGGGGGTGCTGGGTCCAAATTGTTTTTTATAGGCGAGGGAGTGTTTTTGCACAGAGTTGTCCCCGTGGTTCATGCCTGCCCCCGAAACGGGGCTGGTAGCCGCAGAACCGGGGAGAGCAAAGGCTCCGCGGGTGCCAGAAGTCGCCCCTCATCCCGCGCCTCCCCGGGCTGCTCCGCGTTTCCAGCCCGGCACCCTGCTTCCCGGGATGGCCGGGCTCTCCCTGCCCTCCGCCCCAGGACCCCGGCAGCCGGCTGAGACGATGGCAGTGGAAGGAGCTCGCCTCCTGGGTCACAGCGGGGGTAATTCGTTAGCAGCCCTTTAATTGACCTAAATATCCCAGCGGAGGAGGGATTTTTGCCCTTTTCCCCGCATTCCCCCCGCACTTGGGCGCCGGTCCCGCTGTCCTCCCCGGTGCAGGCTGACCTACAGGATTCAAAGCTTTTCCCAATTTAAGTAATAGGTCCTTGTTTTGAAACCAGGCGGTTGCTGTTGTCTGGTGGTTGGCACGGAGGAGGAGGAGGAGAGCCGCTCCACCGCAGGCGGCCTTATTAGTCGAAGATGGAAGAGCGCAACCCCATTC